AGATAGATAGATAGATAGATAGATAGATAGATAGATAGATAGATAGACAGATGATAATGATAGATAGATATGATAGATAATAGATGATAGACAGATAGAGATAGTGATACATATGATAGATGATAGAGATAGTGATAGACAGATATGATAGATAGATGATAGTGATAGACAGACAGAAAGATATGACAGACAGATGATAGATGAAAGTTAGATAATAGAGGTAGTGATAGACAGATGGACAGATATGATAGATTATAGACAGATATTTAGATAGGTAGATAGTGAGATGATAGCTAGATGATAGCTAGATGACAGAGAGACAGATAGATGTAAATGATAGAGAGATGGACAGATGGCTGGACGCATACAGGGAGGGCTTGAGATACGATTGTGAAGGAGCTAGCCCATTTCACTCGCATGTCCTGACAGTCATCAATTGGGTCAGTCCCATGAGCAGCCCAAACACTTATGACTTGTTTGGCAGTGGTCGTTGAATGAATGCAGCACTCGTGGAAACAGACGCCACAGTCATTAAGTGAGCCCATTATTTGCTACGGAGTGGTTTGGACCAAAAAACGGGCGTAACTTCCAGTTACGTTTGTTGTAATCCGTGAAGTGCAGACGGAGCTCCAGTAGATAAATATGTTCTCCCCAATGCATTGATTGATTGATTGTAAAATTGTTGGGCGTGGGGATTGTTTGGTGTGATTTTTGTCCCGGGAAAGCCCGGGCAAGGATGTAACTTGCCATCAGACACATTCTAGAACGGCGTTCCTTCAACCGTGGCAACTTGAAGACGTGTGGACTTCAACTCCCAGAATTCCCCAGCCAGCAATTCCTGGCTGGGGAATTCTGGGAGTTGAAGTCCACACGTCTTCAAGTTGCCATGGTTGAAGACACTTTGGGCTAGTCCTAAAAGCGATTCCCTCATCCAAAGCTGTTCAGCTGCTGTCAGTCTTAAGCAGCAGGATCTCCTCTGATGATCTTGGTCCTCAACTCTAAGCAATCCTCGACTTAACCACGGTTTGTTTAGTGACCGAAGTTAGAACAGCCCTTGAAAAAAGCGACTTAAGCACCATTTTTTTCACGTTGCACCCGTCCCCATTGGCCACACGGTCGAAATTCAGGCACTTGGCGACTGATTCATGTTTATGACGGTCACATGATTCCCCTGTTGCAACCTTTTGACAAGCAAAGTCAACGGGGAAGGACAGATTCACTTAACGACTGGGTTACTAATTTAACGCCTGCAGGGGTTCGCTTACCCACCAGGGCGAGAAAGGCCATAAAATCGGCCAAAATTCACTTAACCACTGTCTCACTCAACAAACGAAAATCTTGGACTCAGTTGTGGTCATAAGTTGAGTACCTGTAGCCAGGGGTGGGGATTCCACCGGTATAACAACTGGTTCAGTAATTGTGCGCTCCACATTTAAAGAAGCTCTAATACTTACCTTCTACTGCAAATCCCTGTGAATCATCCATGCTCTAAAACGGGTCTCCAACCTTTTGGACCTCAGGGACCACCAAGCTCATCCTTTTAAATCTCGCAGACCAGAGACTCTGGGAAATCCCCCCAAAAGTCTGCAGGAAAATCTCTCACCCCGTTTTCCTACCGATCGATTGTTCTTTATTTGGGATCGCAGGATCCTGTCTCTAGCTCCGTTCTCAGGGGGAGAGAGAGAGAGAGAGAGGAAGGGAGAGACTTTTGGCTTCGTGCAAGGAAAGCAGCAGAAGCAGCCAAAAGCAGAAGAAGAAAGAAGCAGAAAGAAGCATCCCGGTGGCCAGGCCAGACACATGGGGCGAGTAGGGCAAGTTCCCCCCCTCCGCCCTTTCCCCCTCCCCTCACTACCTCGTGTTGTTCGCAATGCAAGCGACGCAAGCCTTGTGTTTCTGCACAGCCTGGATTAATTGCTTTTGGGAGTGGAGGGGAACATTTTTCTGCGGACCACCAAAATTTCCTCACAGACCACCAGTGGTCCCCGGCCCACCGGTTGTCGACCATTGCTCTAAAAAACCCAAAATAAATCACAGGAAATTGCTGCCTTTGCTGATCTTTGGAGCAAGGGGTTCGTCTGAACCTGTCTGAACCGGTAGAATCCCTCCCCTGCCTATAGCTCTAAAACTGGAGGCCAACCTGGCAGGGTTTCTTCTCCCAAGGAAGTTTAGGCCGCGGCCATCCCCGCACGACGCCTGCAAACCCAGTTCCGAGTTTCCAAAGTGTAGGAAAATGAACACAGACTGAACATTTTTTAAAAAAAAAATTAGGAGGTTCTCAAAAGTAAAAACAGACCAACCCGTTTCCTCTTTAACGGCAATATCCAGACGTTTTCTTTGCTCGGCCATCCTTTCATTCCCCCTTTTTAATCTCAACCGTGCGCGCCAAACCCAATTTCCCGCCATCAAACGACACATTAAAAACCAATTAGAGGCTCAAATGGAAAGAGAACGCCAGATAGAAACAGAATTTTAAAAAGGGGGAAAAAAAGGGGGGGAGGTCTCACCGGAGAAATTAAATGCCTGCGAAAACAAACCGGCCTTCAGGGGAAAGAGGGTATCCCACAAATCCAGACGACGTCCGGTCCGGATGGGGCCGAACTCCTCCCCAAGGCTGCCCTTCGTCCTTAAT